CGACGGAGGACGAGAGGGTTGGACAGGGTCATCAAAGCTACCAGCATGAATCTGACCCAACTCTGGGAGGCAGTGGAAGACAGGAGGGCCTGGCGTGCTCTGGTCCGTGGGGTCACGAAGAGTCAGACACGACTTAACGACTAAAAACAGCTTGCGTTATTTTGTCTTGCTTTTGGCTTGTGTGATTTCCTGCATCAGTCCTTGAGGGTTGTTGTTGGGAATGTCCAGATGATGTCCCTAAGGATGCACAGAGTGGGGGATGGTGTGTGTGTGTGTCTGTGTGGTAAAATGAACTCTTTTGATAGCCTTCTGCACACATGGATAAGAATAACTGCTGCAATGCAATCTGTAAATTATATATTTTTTTAAAAAACAAACTCTCCTAGTTTAGAGCTTCACTGTAGCACTAAACCCATTCTGCACTTATTTAAATGCTTCCTGTGTTTTGTCAGTTCAGCAGTTCTTCACTTGCTAAACATTTACAAAGAGAGAAAGGACCTGCATACCTGCGCAAGTGGTGGGTAAGAGGCTGCCGATAATGACAAGGAAGACTGAGGGAGCTGGGGGTGGATGGGTGATGTGTGGGTCCTTGAAACACACCTCCCTGAGATAATTAAACATTTCTCCGTGAACCGTGGCAGGAATTGAAATGCCAGCGTGTAGAACAGAGACGTTTGCACCAATCTGGGACAATCTTCTGTGTGGCCGTGCCTTTTGGCTTTTAAAATAAGTCCCTCTGGAGCTCAGCCACGAGAGGGGGGGGTTCCTTCACGACTCCTGGGGCCTCCCTCTTGACGGTGGCAGCAAAGCTGAAGGGAAGGACCGTCATCTGATCTCATCCAGAACGAGACTTCTCCGTCTGACTTTGTGGATCCTCATATGCAAATGGCTGACTTGGAGTCTAGCAATAGCCGTGAACTTTGGAGACAGGCCACCAAGGTTGTGTGGAGACAAATTGATGACTATGAGAAACAAGATGGTCTCCCTGCCATCCTGAGGTGGCATCATTAGAGACTCCAGCCTGGAGGAAGATGGGAGACTTACCACAAAGCATTATACACTCTCAACCAATTAGAGCAAGAAATGCATCAAAACTGATGTGCCTGCATTTCATATTGAACGAAAAACTCCAGTCGCAAGACAATGGAAGACAGAAGAGGCACCGAAGCGGTTTCTCTCTCCCTTCCCTCCTGTCCCCCCCCCACCTGCCCCCCAACAAAGCAAAAGACCAGATGGTCTTTGGAAGTCTTGCCTGTGTAGAGACAGGTTTTGCCTGACCCCAGGAAAGGCAACCAATGGGGAGCCCCCCCCCCAAGCCTTCCTGGGAGGGGGAATGGGCGAGCGTGGGCTTCAGCCTGCGGTGCCTCTGATAATAACTCCAGGACAAGGGAAAGGGCTTCCCTCCCCCTCAAGACCTCACCGCCCGGGTCACGCCTGAGGGGGAGAAGGCAGTCTTCCCAACAGCTAAGTGGCAGAGGGATCCGGAGCGGCCCACGTTGCCGGGTACAGAAACAGACTGGTAGAGGGACAGCGGTCCCAAAAAGGGAGTCACCTGCTCTGGACAGTTGCCGACAGTCTGGCTCTAGGGTTTGGGCGAGCTGAGCTCTGTGACGGCCTTCTGGAGGACGTGTCTTGAGCATGAAGGTGTCGCAAGTCAAAACAGACCTTCCCAGGGAAGAGAGCTGCTCCCTCCCCCCCAGCCTCAATGGCCAACAGGCTGCTATGAAACCTGGCCACCAGGTGCAGGGCCAAGGGGCCCCGCAGGCCGACAGCAGGCACCCCCCCCAGCACCACCATCTACATTCATCCCTTCAAGAAGAAAAAAGCCGCTCAGAAATCTCCCCGTCCCATCCGAGAGAGCCAGTCCAGGCTGGAAGAGACTTGCAGCCATTTCCTTCCAGATGAACCCCCTGGAACCGAAACACCCGCACACCATCTAACACCACGTCCCCAAGTGCAGCCCTGCCGACTGACCAGAAATAACCCAGTGCGGGGCAGGTATTCCTGCTGTTATTTTGAGCAAAAGCCTCACAGCCCCTCCCTCCTCCAGGACAGAGGGAATCCCTCGTGGCTGCCTGGCAGGCTGGCCGCCGATCCTCCCTCTCCACGATCAGTGGGGAAACCGTTGCTCTTCTGGGTCTCGCACGTTGCCCCCAACTGATGGGCAACCCCATGAATGAGCGAAACGTCCTGTCCTCTGCTGCCCTGCTCCGCTCTTGTAAACTCAAGCGTGTGGTCTCTTTCAGGGCTCAGTCCATCTTGTACATTTGGTCTTCCGCCTTTCCCAGCATTGTCATCTTTTCCTGAGAATCGTGCCTTGTCGTGAGGCGCCCGAAGCAGGACGGCCTCAGCTTCAACGTTTTTTGCCTCCAGAGAGAGTTCCTAGTTTCAGCCTTCTGATTTCTCCATTTGAAGGAGTGATTGAATCAGAGTATACAAAGTCCCTAACCATTTCAGTCCCTTTATTGTGAATGCTGAAGTGGTGGGTTCTTCTTCTGAAGTCATAATTCTAGCTTTTGTAAGGTTCAACTGCAGCCCTGCTTTGGAACTTTCTTCTTTCACTTTCACTAAAAGTCATGGGTGGCATTTTTAAGGGTTTTGCAGGTATGAGATAGGTAGAAGAGACGTTTGCCTTACCTTTGTCCTGGAACCCGAGTCTTTGAGTCCTAGACTGGCCCTCTTTTCCATCACCCTCACTGTCGTTTTATTTTAATCACCTTGAAAGCGAGGTTTCTGTTACCCCAGTGGGCAGGAGGCCTAAGCAGAAATGACTCTAAGTTGCTTGCAGGTATCATTAATGGAAAGATTTATTTAAGTCACAGCAGATAAACATGAAATAAGCTTTGCAAAATAAAGGCACAATATAAAAGAAATAAAAGGAAAATCAATAAATTTCCAACACAATGCAATGGTGAAATGAAGAGTGCAAAGCAGAACAACCTGTATTCAGGTATCAGATGAAATTACAGTTATGCAAAATCAGCCGCAGTTAGCCCTTTATGGAGCCCAGTATCTGCCCCTAACTTTCCACCAGTCCTCTAGCTGAAACTCCCTATGTTCCAGGTGTTTGGCCTAAAGATTGAGAAAGAAAGACGTATGGCTACCTATCGCAAGGAACAGGTTCCTGAAGAATCAGAGAAACATGCAGGAATACTAATCCAGGAGAATCCAGAAGGAAAAATGTAAAATAGTGTAGTGGAATCAGAGAGGGGGGGGGGGAAACAACAATGGAGGTGTAGAATCTTCCAGAAGGATTAGTCTATCCCCACTGTAAAAACTGGAGCTTCTCTCAAAATCAAGGCAAGGTAAGGCCTGAAGGTCCCAGAATGTTCAAAGTCTGCCAAAGTAAAAATTACAAGAGGAAAAGTGAACTGAGAAGCATCTGTCCGTGAGGATGAAAGAAGGTGTTGCTGAGTCTGAGTTCCAAAAGCAACAGTTGTTTCTTGCCCCTCATGCTCTTGCCTTCTGGCTGGCCTCTTCACCTTTGCCCCTAAAATTCAGTTCTGTGTTGATAGATGGCAAACTGGGCGCAAACGTGTGTTGCACCCCTTTTCTTTATTCCCAAAGGGAATAAAGGGAAGGGAAAATCACCCCTTTGTCTTGTGGTGCATGAAGTGACTGTAGCATCTGATCAGGGTATATACTCTGATGGCTTGGAACCACCGGAAATATTCCTCCTTGCAGCCTGTCTACACTGTTCCCTTGTCTTCCAGCTCAGCCAAAAGTATGGTGGCCACAGCAGTCATGGCTCCCTCTTTCTTTGCTCATTCCATCATGCAAAAGGTCCAGGTTGGAATGGATTCTCAACCCTTTTTGTCAACAGGAAACAGTCAGTTGTGCTGTGTGCGAAGCAAGCTGAAGATTTCCTCCGTGCCTTTCCAGAGGCAGGCCATTCTTCAGGTCCCTAGTCCAGTCCATCAGCCATATAAATCTGCAGGCCAGCTTGGCCCATATGTCCACAGGCCTTTTGTCCAGTGTACCCTCGTACCATAAATGTAGGACTTGGTTAACACAGGAGTGTCCTGAGCACACTCCTGGACTGCAGTGTGTACTGGACCCTTTATGCACAGCAGGAGAGAAAGCTGAACACCTTCCATATGCGTTGCCTCCGATGGATTTTTGGGGTCACCTGGCAGGACAAAGTTCCAAACAGAGTAGTCCTAGACCGAGCTGGAATTTTTAGCATGTATAAATTACTGAACCAGTGACGTCTACGTTGGCTTGGGCATGTCGTGAGAATGGCTGATGGTCGGATTCCAAAAGATCTCCTGCATGGAGAATTAGTGCAGGGAACTCACCCCAGAGGGAGACCACAGCTGCGATACAAGGAGATCTGCAAGCGGGATCTGGAAATGGATCTCAACCGATGGGAAACCTTGACATCTGACCGTTCAGCCTGGAGGCAGGCGGTGCATCGTGGCCTCTCCCAATTTGAAGAGACCCTTGTCCAGCAGGCCGAGGCCAAGAGGCAGTCCCGAAAGAAGCAAAACCAGGGAGATGGACAGGGGACAGACTGGATTTGTCTTCAGTGTGGAAGGGATTGTGTCACTCTCGAATTGGCCTCCTCAGCCACACAAAACACTGTTCCAAGACCTCCATGCGGAGCACGTGACCCTCGTCTCTCCAGACTGAAAGATGCCTACCTAGTGGTTAACACACTAGCCCGCCAGCCCGCCCGCCCGCGCGCGAGTTCTTCTCCCAGGACTGGCCTAATGAAGGCATTAGCCTAATGAGGACTTAACATTAATTGGGTAAATCTTCACAGCTCAGCCGGAGGGGCTCCCCCTGGCGGACCACCAGCGCCTCGGCTCGGGCAGCCCCCCCCCCCGCCGGGGGCGTGGCTGAGAAGAGCCCTCCCGACCCGATTGGCCGCGCTTCTTCTGTGGGGCGGGGCGGCGGGAGATGGGAGCCGCGCCCTGCCAATGATGGGGTGGTGCCGATTTGCATGTGGGACGCGAGGGGCCAATCGGAGCCGGGCCGCGACGCGTCGGGGCCAATGGCGGCGGAGTCTTCCGGGCACGGAAGAGAGGGAAGCGAGCGCGGCAGCGGAGGCGGGTGGCGGGACTCCGGCCCGGCCCAGCTCTGCCCAGCCCGGACGGGACGGGACCGGCCACGCCACGCCAGTCCAGTCCAGTCCGATGGGGGAGAAGCGGATCCTGTGCGTGGGCCTCGTATGCCTGGACATCATCAGCGTCGTGGAGCGCTACCCGCCCGAGGACTCGGACTCCAGGTGGGCCGGCCAGGC